TCACTTCGAATCCATTTGATAACCGTTTTTGAGTCACTCCACAGAATGCAGTCTGTGATGTCAAGAGAGTGTTCGTCGCGGATGCACTGCATGAGACGAGTGCCTAAAACAGCTGCCTGAAGTTCAAGCCGTGGCACGGTAAGAGTTTTCATTGGCGCGCATTTTGACTTAGAAGAAACGAATGTAACATCAATATTACCCGATGAAGTTTGCGATCGAAGATAGGCAACAGCAGCGAAGGCATCTTCACTAGCGTCGACAAATACGTGGAGCTGAAGTATTTGAGGTATACCATTTCCAAAATAAAAACGAGGTATGGCGTATTTCACAACCTCTGGTAGTTGTTTACGCCACTTCTCCCAGACAGCGTTAATGTCGTTTGGCAACGGGTCGTTCCACTGGATGTCGTGTTTCCATAACTCACGCATAAGTAGTTTGGCGCCAATGACGAAGTTGCTCAGAAATCCTAGAGGGTCGAAAATCGACATAACAATGCTTAGGAGTTCTCTTTTAGTAGGACGTCTTTCTCCATTTACCACTGCTTCACCAACGTTATGGAATTTCAATTTAAAACCGAAACAATCTGACGATGACTGCCAAAACAAACCAAGTACCCGCTCTCCAACGAAACCTTCTTTATTATCAATTGGTCGTGATACATCAGTACCGTTGAGCGCGTCAACTACTTTCGATGCATTGGATATAAAATTGCGAAGCTCAAACCCAGCATCCATATGAATCGCTCGGACCTCTTGGGATATAGAAATCGTCTCCTCTTCCGAGCAGAAGCTATCAACAAAGTCATCGACATAGTGGTGGTCGCCTTAACCGCACGGGCAGTGGTTCTGCGATCATCTTGGTGCTCCAATGCGTTTACTTTTTTCACATAATCTGCGGCACATGGTGAACAGGCAGCACCAAACGTCATCACGCACATTTCGTAAACGTCCGGGGGTTCAGAGACGTCCCCACCACGCCAGAGAAACCGCTGTGCGCATCTATCGTCTTTTCGTATACGAACTTGGTGGAACATCTCCTTGATGTCTCCACATACGGCGATCGCGCCTTCACGAAAGTGGAATAATATCGACGGCAAAGGCCGATATTCTTGTGGACCCTTCANCCCACTGGATATTTTTCTGTGATAATTCACTTTGTAGACGTACGCAGTCGAATACTTCTTTGAATCGCTTGGCTTCTCGGTCAGCACCAACGAAATTCTTTCCATTGTCCGACCTAATCCTTAAGGGCGTACCTCGTCGGTTCACAAAATTACGTATAGCAATGATACAAGAGTCGGTACTCAAGTCATGAGCCAGTTCTAGGTGCACAGCTCGCACAGTAAGGCACGTAAATAGTGCCACCCATCTCTTCTCAGTGCTGCGTCGAACAGTGACAGTTAGTGGCTCAAAGTAATCGAGTCCTGTGTAGCTAAACGGTCTCACATAGGGAGTGAGTCTGTCCACAGGAAGCAGTCCCATCTTTGGAGCTACCGGGGCAGCTTTATTTAAACGGCATACACCACAACTGGCAATCACATTACGCAACAAACTTCTTAGTCGCGGCACCCAATAATTGCTACGGATATCTCCAATGGTAGCTTCTAAGTTCTGGTGGTTCATGAGGCTGTGATGATGTAACACTAACAGCCTTGTAAATGCATG